GTCTTAAATCTAGTGGGAAGGAAGAAAATAGTAAAGCAACACTTAAAATGGAGATCGATAACACTCAGGATATATATGCATGATGGTATCGATGATTTTATTCACCGTACCGCCATATTCGATTCGATAATTTGTTCTAAGCCTGGAACACAGTAAAGCGATACCGTCGCTGATGACGCTACTTTGGCCCAAAGCGTAGGATTAAGTTAAAGCCTTACCGTTGACTTTTTAGCGTAACATGAATAAAGCCTGTAAACAAGTTATTATTACTAAACAAAGATAAAAATCTAAGATAGGATCGGATAACTAAACATAGATAAAAATCTAAGATAGGATCGAATAACTAAACAAAGATAAAAATTTAAGGTCGGATAACAAAGCAAAGATAAAAAATTTAAGGTCGGATAACTAAACAAAGATAAAAATCTAAGGTCGGATAACTAAACAAATGTAAGAATATAGGTCCGGTAAGTATTTTGTAAGTAAAGATAAAAATCTAAGGTCGGATAACTAAATAAAGATAAGAATTTAGGTCTGAAAAGTAAGCAAAGAAAAAAATATAGGTCTGATGTATAAACAAGATAAGAATCTAGGTCTGATAACTATCTAAGGTTCTTGTAAAACAGCCGCTACGACAACACAGTTTCATAATCTTTGCTTTTTAATTTTTAAAATGTATCCCAACTCTAGACCATGCCCTAACTTCGCCCTTTGACCCTAACCCTACCCCTAGTTTAGAGCCTGCTTCAAATCATGACAAAACCTAACAGAAATACCGGCACAACAAAATAAAATGCCGTCCTGTTCATAAGATCCAAAAACAGAAACAAAGCTGCAAAACAATCCGTTGACGTTTTGACAATCACCCTTGTAGACAGATTTATTTCAAAAATATATTTAAAAATGGCTGCGTATTCTGGTGGACTATTACGTGATTGCTATTTGAAAATTTAACGCAAGGCCCAGGCAGCGAGTTTAGAAGAAGTAAATATTGCCAATGCATTAGCACCCCTCCCCCTACCCCTCCCCCCCCACGCACCACCACAACCACTCTCCCCAAATTTGATAGGCTCAGATCTATGACGTTACCTAAACAACTTAGCATCAGCTGTGTTAAGGAGCTTCAGAAAGGAAATCGCAATATAAACAGAAAGTGATATTTCAACGCCAAGAGTAGACAAAGGTACAGAATATAGTCCAAGTAAAGACAGAGAAGTCAGAATCCAACGGGATCCGAACCTACCATTCCATATGACACTGTAATTTTATCGCCTATTGAGTTTTACTCCTGTTGATTTCAAACTTTATTCTTTCTAAACGTGTTGCTGTCCCCAGCTAACGAGCATTAGTTCAGTCTCTTGACTAACTAATCTAACCACATCATATAATTATATCTAGTGCATAAAGCAATCCGACTTACCGTCAAAAACACCCGGCTTGGGTTCGGGGGGCAAGATGATCCGACACGACTTGGTCTGGCAGGGAGGGCACGGCTTAGGGCATGGGGGGCATGGCCCGCAGGGCGCCGGACAAGATGGTTTCCTTTTTTGTGGCGGGTAGATCATTTGACACTCCATGATAGGACACACGGACTTATGTTAGTGGCTCATCACGATGTTCTGATGAATAACTTGGTGTACGGTAGCTTGGACAACAGATGGTGTACGTGGGTAGATGACACTTAGATGAATCTTCACTCAGAATCAGGCGTTAGTCTATGTCAGATGTTCTTTGATTGGAATCAAGTTGAGTCTAATGACTTTTTACGTGGCGAGAGTTCGTTTCGTTTCGTTTCTTATTCTAATTTTTATTTTTATGAGTCAATTTTGGTGCATAGCAACACCGGCGTGCGAATGGTATACACAACATCAGGTAGGCTAAGGATGTAAATGTTATAGATCTAATAGCTCAGGTAACATCCACACATAGATCTACTTGTAACTAATTTACATGCGATGTTAAAATTGTTTAGGTGTTGTTTCTATGTACATTTTCTTTTACTTTCATGCAAAAATTCTTAAACTTTAGAGATCGACAGAACCGATCGCATTAGGTTGCTGGAATTCCCGATAAAATGCGCATTTGGCATAGTAATTTTTACACGCTTTTATTGCACGCTTTATTTAACTGGGCTAACTCTTTGTCTATCGTGCTTCAACATGAGACGAAACTGCCAAGCGAAATTTCAACCACTTTTAAATGACTATTTTTTTAAAGAAACTTGGCCGTGGGTCAAGATCCGGGGCCAATGCAATGTGACATCAAATCTGGCTAAATTGGATGCTTAATTATTTTTTAGTGATTTAATAATAGTTTTCTATATAAAGCACTAGACTATATACTGCCCTATTATTCGCTCATTGTTCGTGTTCATTTAGTCATGCAATTCTATTGTATTACAAATTTTTAAATATTAAAAAAAAGTAATAACGGACAAAATGGAAATAATAAATATGAGATTAATTGTCTTTAAAACTTTAATTGTCCTGTCGGTGTGGATAGAAGACCAAACAGAATCAACACCCGCAGAGAGCTCAATAAAACCAGCAAATATTTTCTTCAACCATTCCAGACTTTGTACACGCCCAGTGCATCCAACACTAAAGGAAAATGAGCAGCGATAACGCGTGTAAATGTTATCAGGTCATCTCTCCCGCGCCTCAAAGAACTGGATTTGAACGTGAGTAAAAAAGGGTTTGAACGTGAATAAAATAGAATTTGAACGTGAGTACAATATGATTTGAACGTGAGTAAAATAGGATTTGAACGTGAGTAAAATAGAATTTGAACGTGAGTAAAATAGGATTTGAATGTGAGTAAAATAGGATTTGAATGTGAGTAAAATAGGATTTGAACGTGAGTAAAATAGAATTTGAACGTGAGTACAATATGATTTGAACGTGAGTAAAATAGGATTTGAACGTGAGTAAAATAGGATTTGAACGTGAGTAAAATAGGATTTGAATGTGAGTAAAATAGGATTTGAATGTGAGTAAAATAGGATTTGAACGTGAGTAAAATAGGATTTGAACGTGAGTAAAATAGGATTTGAACGTGAGTAAAATAGGATTTGAATGTGAGTAAAATAGGATTTGAATGTGAGTAAAATAGGATTTGAACGTGAGTAAAATATGATTTAAACGTGAGTAAAATAGGATTTGAACGTGAGTAAAATAGGATTTGAAAGTGTGTTAAATAGGATTTGAACGTGAGTAAAATAGGATTTGAACGTGAGTAAAATAGGATTTGAATGTGAGTAAAATAGGATTTGAATGTGAGTAAAATAGGATTTGAACGTGAGTAAAATAGGATTTGAACGTGAGTAAAATAGGATTTGAACGTGAGTAAAATAGGATTTGAATGTGAGTAAAATAGGATTTGAATGTGAGTAAAATAGGATTTGAATGTGAGTAAAATAGGATTTGAATGTGAGTAAAATAGGATTTGAACGTGAGTAAAATAGGATTTGAACGTGAGTAAAATAGGATTTGAACGTGAGTAAAATAGGATTTGAATGTGAGTAAAATAGGATTTGAATGTGAGTAAAATAGGATTTGAACGTGAGTAAAATAGGATTGATGGGACGGAGTGGCCTAGCGAGTTCGAATCCATGTTCAAGTCAGTATGTCCCTGAGTCCTCCCAACTCTGCTGGGTACCTAACTCACGTTAGGGAAAGTAAAGGCGGCTGGGCATAGTGCTGACCACACTATCTCTTCATATGCCGAAGACACAGAAAAAAGTAGACCCCTTAGACCAGTGGTTCCCAACCTTTTTTGAGTGGCGACCCCCTTTTATAAAAATTAAGTGACCCGCGACCCCCATAGAATTAAAAACCGAAATTAGTATGGAAATTAAAAAGCATTAAAATAAGATTTTCTAGTAGACTTTCAATATGAACTACTCTTGATAACTGTTTTGATACCATGAGTAAAATTGCATACTATTCACTAAACATTCGCGTTTCATTTTTGTTTTAAAGTATTTTTTTGTTAACGCCAACCTATGTCATTATCATTATCTTAATTTTGTTTTTAATAAAAAAATAGTGTTCAAAATAAAATTATATTCTCGAAAAGTCAATCAATTTTACGTTTGGATATAAATTGTTAATACCACACCAAAATTGTATCTGAAGTTTTTCATCTTACGCGGAATCATTCTACAAATCAAAGAATTCATCTTGTAATTCATCGGGAATGCTGGCAACATCAAGGGAAGAAGAGAATGGGTAATGCGTCAATGCAGATTTTTTTTTCAGCTCAGAGAAATAGCGCTGCAGTTCGTTTTCAAAAGATTCAAGATGCCCAGAAATTTCCTCTTTCAAAATTTTATTATCTCACAATTAGATTCATCTACCACACTGCAGAGCTTCTCAAATTTACAATATTTCCAAGATTTATTTTCTTCGCCGATTTTGCAGCTTTGATAAAAATGCCCCGAGATTATCATGGAAAGTGATAATATTCGTTCATTTTCCCTGAAGCTTCAGGTTATGCTTATGTTGATGTTCGAACACATCTGCTAGGTATGATACTCTCTCCAACCACTCTATGTCGTTTTAAGTATACCAAAAGGTCTTGTTTCCTTTGCATTTCCAAGAACAATTTGATTTCAGATTTCAATTCAAAAACACGATTCACAACAATTCGTTTGACAGCCAGCGCACCGTAGTGTAGAAGAGCATTCTTTGAAGGCTCCAGATTTTATATAAATTACGACTTATACTAGCAATGGAGTCTTGATGGCGATTGGTGAGGGCAGTGGTTAGGGAGCTAAATCTTTTCTGCTTTCTGAAAGCCCGATTTTGACCTAAACATAGATGGTGCACCATCCGTACAAACCCTCACAGCCGTTTTAACCCATTTTAATCATCCAATTTAAAAAACGTATTTATTTTCTCCATGCTATCTTCACAAAAGAGCAACTCTTCTTTGCTATCATCTGAATAAATATAATACAAAGACCAGCAACTGCGAACACGAACTCGCGTCTGTTGATTTATCTACTTGAATAGCAAACAATGGTGAAAGCTTAATTTCAATAAAAATGTGTTATTTAACATCTACGGACATGTAAGAATTAACTTCACCATCTTCAACATGCAGCGTTTGATGAGATTTTCTCCTATTGTTTTTTTTTTGCTTGGCATTTTCTGTCGCTACTTCATGTGATGCTTGCACTAATGCTGTGTTTCCTTGGTGAAAACTTCCTGTTCGATCAAGTCTCTGACGTTTGCAACTAGCTTCATACCGACGAAAGAACTCCATATCTTTTTTGGTGTGTTTCGAATGACTCGTCTCAAATGACGTTTTAGTTTTGAAGATTTCATAAACTCGTGACTGAGAACAACTTTGTATAGTACGCTTTGCTTCTTCTCTATTCCCTTTCCAGTGATGTTAGTAAAGCCGAATTTAAAAAATTCTTCTAAATATGTATGTTTTGTTTCAAATTACTAAGGTTTAGTATAACAGTTGGCGACCCCCCAGAAAGTCCTTCGCGACCCCCAGGGGGGTCGCGACCCCCAGGTTGGGAACCCGTGCCTTAGACCGTCATGTTTGAAAGGGAACTTTACTTACTTTACTTTACTTACAATATGATTTGTACGTGGGTAAAAATCCTATTCCTATCCTAGCCTTAAAAATGATAACGTAAAGAATGTTCATGAAAAATATCTAGTTCTAACTGTAAACGCCCAAATAAATATTCATGCAGAACTTTCAATGGAACTTACCAAGACCTTCCTTTCTACTTTGACATGGCGGGACATCATTGTTAATCCAATGGGTACCACTTTTGTTTTATAAAACAAGGACATGGTTTCTCTGTTGCAGGTCTTAGGGACAGCTATGTGTTTGATCTTATGGCGAACGTGCTTTTCCTGATCTTGGCTGCTTTGATTGTGATTTCTTTTCTGGGTAAGGTAGTTAAACAAAGTAATTAAGATAGCTATGTACGTTTTATTGGTTTGCTATCGTATTTCTCTCAACAGCAACTCGGTTCAATGTTTTTTCATAATGACTTAAAGCTTAAATAATAATTACTGTATTAATTACGTCCATGAGAGTATTCGATGTTTTTTTATATGTCAATTCATCTTCCGATTTTGTGGCTAACTAGTTTTTGTATTTGCCGCACGTTTAGAGACCCACCTCCATGTTGTGCTGTTTCCTGACTGGGATACCTGGCACCTACTGAAGGCAGCTCACAGGTTCCCCTTCAACTGTCTTCCGTGAGTAGCTGGCTTTTACTGGTCTAGCATTAGCATAGTGCGTGTGTGGGAGGACAGGTGTAAACTTTATGTGGGAGCACAGGTAAACTTTATGTGGGAGGACAGGTAAACTTTATGTGGGGGACAGGTGTAAACTTTGTGTGGGAGGACAGGTGTAAACTTTATGTGGGAGGACAGGTGTAAACTTAAGGTTGGAGGACAGGTAAACTTTATGTGGGGGACAGGTGTAAACTTTATGTGGGAGCACAGGTAAACTTTATGTGGGAGGACAGGTGTAAACTTAAGGTTGGAGGACAGGTAAACTTTATGTGGGAGGACAGGTAAACTTTATGTGGGGGACAGGTGTAAACTTTGTGTGGGAGGGCAGGTGTAAACTTTATGTGGGAGGACAGGTAAACTTAATGTGGGAGGACAGGTGTAAACTTAAGGTTGGAGGACAGGTAAACTTTATGTGGGGGACAGGTGTAAACTTTATGTGGGGGGACAGGTAAACTTTATGTGGGGGACAGGTGTAAACTTTATGTGGGAGGACAGGTGTAAACTTTATGTGGGAGGACAGGTAAACTTAATGTGGGAGGACAGGCAAACTTTATGTGGGGGACAGGTGTAAACTTTATGTGGGAGGACAGGTGTAAACTTAAGGTTGGAGGACAGGTAAACTTTATGTGGGGGACAGGTGTAAACTTTGTGTGGGAGGGCAGGTGTAAACTTTATGTGGGAGGACAGGTAAACTTAATGTGGGAGGACAGGTGTAAACTTAAGGTTGGAGGACAGGTAAACTTTATGTGGGGGACAGGTGTAAACTTTATGTGGGGGGACAGGTAAACTTTATGTGGGGGACAGGTGTAAACTTTATGTGGGAGGACAGGTGTAAACTTTATGTGGGAGGACAGGTAAACTTAATGTGGGAGGACAGGCAAACTTTATGTGGGGGACAGGTGTAAACTTTATGTGGGAGGACAGGTGTAAACTTAAGGTTGGAGGACAGGTAAACTTTATGTGGGGGACAGGTGTAAACTTTATGTGGGGGACAGGTGTAAACTTTATGTGGGAGGACAGGTAAACTTTATGTGGGAGGACAGGTGTAAACTTAAGGTTGGAGGACAGGTGTAAACTTTATGTGGGAGGACAGGTGTAAACTTTATGTCGAGGACAGGTGTAAACTTAATGTGGGAGGACAGGTAAACATAATGTGGGAGGACAGGTGTAAACTTAAGGTTGGAGGACAGGTAAACTTTATGTGGGGGACAGGTGTAAACTTTGTGTGGGAGGGCAGGTGTAAACTTTATGTGGGAGGACAGGTAAACTTAATGTGGGAGGACAGGTGTAAACTTAAGGTTGGAGGACAGGTAAACTTTATGTGGGGGACAGGTGTAAACTTTATGTGGGGGGACAGGCAAACTTTATGTGGGGGACAGGTGTAAACTTTATGTGGGAGGACAGGTGTAAACTTTATGTGGGAGGACAGGTAAACTTAATGTGGGAGGACAGGCAAACTTTATGTGGGGGACAGGTGTAAACTTTATGTGGGAGGACAGGTGTAAACTTAAGGTTGGAGGACAGGTAAACTTTATGTGGGGGACAGGTGTAAACTTTATGTGGGAGGACAGGTGTAAACTTAATGTGGGAGGACAGGTAAACATAATGTGGGAGGACAGGTGTAAACTTAAGGTTGGAGGACAGGTAAACTTTATGTGGGGGACAGGTGTAAACTTTGTGTGGGAGGGCAGGTGTAAACTTTATGTGGGAGGACAGGTAAACTTAATGTGGGAGGACAGGTGTAAACTTAAGGTTGGAGGACAGGTAAACTTTATGTGGGGGACAGGTGTAAACTTTATGTGGGGGGACAGGCAAACTTTATGTGGGGGACAGGTGTAAACTTTATGTGGGAGGACAGGTGTAAACTTTATGTGGGAGGACAGGTAAACTTAATGTGGGAGGACAGGCAAACTTTATGTGGGGGACAGGTGTAAACTTTATGTGGGAGGACAGGTGTAAACTTAAGGTTGGAGGACAGGTAAACTTTATGTGGGGGACAGGTGTAAACTTTATGTGGGGGACAGGTGTAAACTTTATGTGGGAGGACAGGTAAACTTTATGTGGGAGGACAGGTGTAAACTTAAGGTTGGAGGACAGGTGTAAACTTTATGTGGGAGGACAGGTGTAAACTTTATGTCGAGGACAGGTGTAAACTTAATGTGGGAGGACAGGTAAACATAATGTGGGAGGACAGGTGTAAACTTAAGGTTGGAGGACAGGTAAACTTTATGTGGGAGGACAGGTAAACGTTATGTGGGGGACAGGTGTAAACTTTGTGTGGGAGGACAGGTAAACTTTATGTGGGGGGACAGGTGTAATTTATGTGGACAATACTACTCTTGTACTACTATTTGACTCACCTAACCCTAAATACAATACTACTCTTGTACTACTATACGACTCACCTAACCCTAAATACAAAGCTACTCTTGTACTACTATTTGACTCACCTAACCCTAAATACAAAGCTACTCTTGTACTACTATTTGACTCACCTAACCCTAAATACAAAGCTACTCTTGTACTACTATTTGACTCACCTAACCCTAAATACAAAGCTACTCTTGTACTACTATTTGACTCACCTAACCCTAAATACAAAGCTACACTTGTACTACTATTTGACTCACCTAACCCTAAATACAAAGCTACTCTTGTACTACTATTTGACTCACCTAACCCTAAATACAATACTCCTCTTGTACTACTATTTGACTCACCTAACCCTAAATACAAAGCTACTCTTGTACTACTATTTGACTCACCTAACCCTAAATACAAAGCTACTCTTGTACTACTATTTGACTCACCTAACCCTAAATACAAAGCTACTCTTGTACTACTATTTGACTCACCTAACCCTAAATACAATACTACTCTTGTACTACTATTCGACTTATTTAACCCTAAATACAATACTCCTCTTGTACTACTATTTGACTCACCTAACCCTAAATACAAAGCTACTCTTGTACTACTATTTGACTCACCTAACCCTAAATACAAAGCTACTCTTGTACTACTATTTGACTCACCTAACCCTAAATACAAAGCTACTCTTGTACTACTATTTGACTCACCTAACCCTAAATACAATACTACTCTTGTACTACTATTCGACTTATTTAACCCTAAATATAAAGCAACTCTTGCATTTGTCTGGTAGAAAAGTGGAACACTCTCCGTACAAAGAGGACCAGCACCCTGGCAGACACGACCAGCACCCTGGCAGACACGACCAGCATCATGGCCGACAAGAAGCGTCAAAAGAGCCACTGACCCAGTATGGGAAGTTAGACCACCCTCCTCTCAATCGCAAGGCCGGGGATGCACCGAACGTAAAACATGAGGCGGCCCCAGGGGGGAAACATGAGGCGGCCTCAGGGGGGAAACATGAGGCGGCCTCAGGGGGGAAACCCGATGGCCCGCCCAAACAAGGACCACCTGGGAATGGCCGGAAAGATGCACGGGCTAAGCCGGAACAGAAAAACGGGCACGCCAACGGAAACGGTCACGGAAACGGTCACGGAAACGGTCACGGAAACGGTCACGGAAACGGTCACGGAAATGGACATAAGAATGGTCATGGTCATGGTCGTGGAGAAGGTCAAGGTCGAGGAGAAGGTCATGGTCGTGGAGAAGGTCGAGGAGAGGGCCGTCCACCCGCCCACGTGAATACCCACGAACAGGCTGGAGGCGGGAAACAAGAAGACCAGCACGAATCGCCCTAGCCAGACGCTGCCTCGTTTGGTCCCTAGCACCGCTGAACCTGCTCCAAATATTTACCATCAGCTACATAAATAAGTAGCCTAAAGAGAGGAGACTTTTAAAGGACCAAAAAATAATGAAAGATATGTTTATAAATGTTAAAACATGAAACTGAAAAGAAATAAATAATAAAGTATTAATATTTTAAAAATCTTGTTACTTTCAAAACGAGCTTTTTGTTAGAGGCGCTATTTTAAAATGGTAGATAAATCTTACAGTAAATAACGGTTTAAAATTGCATCGGTTATTTCCCTTTGTTAACGAAAATGTAGACTTACTTCGTGCTTCAGTATCTCGCAACATTGCGCTCTGTTGTCAAATGTTGCCACTAAATGTACTTTACTTAAACGGCTTTACGTTTAGCATTCCTGACCCATCAGCTAAATTTAACACAAAGTTATACAGAGACAGTAGTAGGACAGTAGGACAATATCTCAACGTCCTACACAGACAGTAGTAGGACAGTAGGACAGTAGGACAATATCTCAGCGTCCTAAACAGACAGTAGTAGGACAGCAGGACAGTAAGACAATATCTCAGCGTCCTACACAGACAGCAGTAGGACAGTAGGACAATATCTCAACGTCCTACACAGACAGCAGTAGGACAGTAGGACAATATCTCAACGTCCTACACAGACAGTAGTAGGACAGTAGGACAATATCTCAACGTCCTACACAGACAGCAGGATAGTAGGACAGTAGGACAATATCTCAGCGTCCTACACAGACAGTAGTAGGACAGTAGGACAATATCTCAACGTCCTACACAGACAGTAGTAGGACAGTAGGACAATATCTCAGCGTCCTACACAGACAGTAGTAGGACAGTAGGACAATATCTCAACGTCCTACACAGACAGTAGTAGGACAGTAGGACAGTAGGACAATATCTCAACGTCCTACACAGTCAGTAGTAGGGCAGTAGGACAATGTCTCAACGTCCTACACAGACAACAGTAGGACAGTAGGACATTAGGACAATATCTCAACGTCCTACACAGAGAACAGTAGGACAGTAGGACTATATATATATATATATATATATATATATATATATATATACGTTTAACAGAAACAGCAGTAGGAAAATAAAGGCCAGACAGTATTTCAACCTTCAACACAGACACACATAGGACAATAGGACAGTGTCTTAGCTATTGCCAAGACAGCTGTAGAACAATGTAGGACAGTAGGACAATGTCCCCGGCACCTTCCATATCTTGACCTTTTAACCTCATACTTATTCATGACTCTGATGCAACAAATTTCTCTGGCTAGGAACCCAATCACAGCCAGATTTTTAGCAAGACTTTTTCAAATGTAACCACGACATTTGCAGCCCTTGTCAAATGTGACAACCACATTTCTGAGGTAGCCCTTTTCAAATGTAGCAAAAGATTTCTGAGCAAGCGCTTTCAAAAGGAACAACCACATTTTTAGCAAGCCCTTTTCAAATGTAACAACCAGATTCTGAGCAAGCCCTATTCAAATGTAACAACCAGGTTCTTAGCAAGACCTTTTCACATGTAACAGCCAGGTTCTGAGCAAGCCATTTTCAAATGTAACAACCAGGTTCTGAGCAAGCCCTATTCAAATGTAACAACCAGGTACTGAGCAAGCCCTTTTCAAATGTAACAACCAGGTTCTGAGCAAGCCCTATTCAAATGTAACAACCAGGTTCTTAGCAAGCCCTTTTCAAATATAACAACCAGGTTCTGAGCAAGCCCTTTTCAAATATAACAACCAGGTTCTGAGCAAGCCCTTTTCAAATATAACAACCAGGTTCTGAGCAAGCCCTTTTCAAATGTAACAACCAGGTTCTAAGCAAGCCATTTTCAAATATAACAACCAGGTTCTGAGCAAGCCATTTTCAAATGTAACAACCAGGTTCTAAGCAAGCCATTTTCAAATATAACAACCAGGTTCTAAGCAAGCCATTTTCAAATGTAACAACCAGGTTCTGAGCAAGCCCTTTTCAAATATAACAACCAGGTTCTAAGCAAGCCCTTTTCAAAATGTAACAACCAGGTTCTGAGCAAGCCCTTTTCACATGTAACAACCAGGTTCTGAGCAAGCCCTTTTCAAATGTAACAAGGCCACCGTTGTTACAAGCGGTGTCAAGAATAATCCCATCCAAGCAAGACCACGTGACAAGGGGAGATTTGGGAGATTGACGGTGGCAGGAATGATGCAAGAATAATTGGGTCAAGGTTGACCTTCAGTGACGTTGACCGTTGACACTTTGGAGGTTTGAAGGTGTGGAATAACCCCGGGTGTGCAGTGCTGATTTGTGGAGGTCGGGTCTTTAGCGGGATGGTAAAGTACGCGCTGGGGTTGTTGTCTTCAGCTCCAGGGGAGAAGTATTAGATTACGTAACACTGTTTGCTTCGTGATGCATGATTGGGCGCGGGGATCCTAATAATGACGTCACGTATTTAAAGACTATTTGTACGTCCCCACCATCAGTGTAAAATGTCCTAAAGTGCCAGACATACATTACGCACCCCGCAGGTGGGGTAGGGGGGGGTCTGAGAACACCCGCAGGTGGGTGGGTGGGGGTGTAATCTGAGAACGTCACGCAGGTGGAATGGGGTGGGGGGTTCTGAGAACACCCACATGTAAAAAAAAAAGGGTGGGTGGGTGGATTCTGGGATCACCAAACGGGGGAGGATTCTGAAAATACCCTGCCTATTATAAGAGAGTGCCAGAAAAAAAAATGTGGTTTCTAATATCTGCTTGAAGAACGGCAGCTATGGGATGGGGAGGAGGGGGAAGGATAGTTTACATTATTAAACACGGGTAGATCTGATATCGCCATCACCTTAATTCATTTGTCTGGCTACGTATGCATGTCTGCAGATTCAACGATTTTACTCTCTCAGGGTTAAAACTGTGTTTGTTTCCTGTTGTTTTTAGAATACCCTGCTTCTTTTTACTTTCTCGTATATACGAAGTATAGAGAAAGTATTGTAATCGTGCACAAAAATCACTTGAAATTTTAACAATTTTCACCGTATTACACCTCAGTCCTTCATCACATCCGAAGTATAGAGGACTTATTTTAATCGGGCAAAAATTATCAATCAAGATTTATCAAAATTAAGAGGTTTTATGCGTAATCCAGTCTGAAAAACTGGGCTTTGCACTTCTGTCCGTATGTCTGTGTGTCTGTGTGTGTGTGTGTCCGTGTGTAAACACGATAACTTGAGTACCGTTACAGCTAGGTTGATGAAATTTCATATATAAGTATTTAATCAAAATCGTAGATCCGTATCAACTTTTGAGCGATTTCCGATAACCGGAAGTGGTACTTTTCCTACTTTGAATTTTTCAAAAGCCTATAACTTGAGTACTATTTCAGATAGATAAATGAAATTTCATACGTAAGTAAAAGATCTAATTCTCTACCTTCTATTAAATTTTGAGTCATTTCCGTTGACTGGAAGTAGTACTTTACGCTACTTCCGATTTCTCAAAAAACTAATGTAAATTTTAAAAGTACTAATAATATTGCGCACTATTATGCGCTTTTTTATTTCGCGTTCACTTGGTGTGCAATTAATTTGTCTACGAGATTTTATTCTATTTTTAAAACTTTAAGTATTTAAAATGGATTAAAAATCATGTCTATAGCCCGAGTTCCCATCCCCTGTTATTTTATATAAGAATATTCGAGAAAGTTTAGGGGAGATCACTCCCGGTTTATTTCTCACATCATTACTGTACACATGAGTCATGAGAGATGCTATGATTTCTACTTAAATGTAGACTAGTGTTCTTATCTATTTTATTTAGGCCCACCTCTATTTCATCATGACGTCAACCTGTGCTGCTTAACGCGATGTTGTAGTTTTAAGTTGTTACAAAGAAATGATAACAGAAAGAGTACTGTTTCATACCGGACGGTCAATGGGGTAGATGAAGTAGAGTTCCTTATATTATGAAGAGATACTGTCGTCAGCTATCTTCATTTTCCTCAAAAGAAGCCAGGTATGCTTAAGAGCTGGGTAGACTCACGCAGGTTCAACTGACTTGAGTTCATGAAGGATGTTGGAGATACTGCTCGATCACTCAGTTCCAATTTTTTTCATAAAGGAAACGTTTTACTAGGCATTTGTGTTTTATGTGTTGTGTTATGTTGATATGTATTATTATATATGTTATGTTTTAAATGTTATGTGTTAAATGTTGTGTGTTTTGTGTTGTGTGCTGTTTGTTGTGTGTTGTGTGTGTGGTTCGGGTGTGTGTTTTGTGTTGTGTGCTGTTGGTTGTGTGTTGTGTGTGTGGTTCGGGGTGTGTGTTTTTGGGTTGTGTGCTGTATTGTGTGTTGTTGCGCTGTAGGTGGTGTGTTTTATACATGTTGTGTGGATGTTGTGGGCTATTGTGTGTTATGATGTGTGGTTTAAGGTGTGTGTTTTTGTTTTGTGTGTTGTAAGTGCTGTGTCGTATTATGTTGTGTGTATGATGTGTGTTGTAGGTGGTGTGTTGTGTGCATATTGTATGTATGTTGTATGTTGTAGGTGGGATGTTCTTTTTTTTTTTTGCCTCAGACACTTAATTTATAGCGTCAGTTGTGTGTTCGCTTTAGTATTACAGTTTTCATCATCGGCTTGTGAGGACTGATACAGATTTACAATAGTAATATTTCTTTCTTACTTGTAGCCTGCTTTCAATCATTTAAGATGGTTTACTTATACATAGATCTAATACAAAACGTCTAAATAAAAAGAAAAAAGTAAAAAGTAAAAACCAACCTGAAACTGAAAATGCAAATGTGTAGTTAAATGATGATTCAAGGGATTTTTTTTTCTCGGCGTGGTGGGCTGAGGGGACGAGGGGGGAGAGGGGGAATTTTTTTTTTTTTAAGTAGAGCTAAAATGAATTTGGGATTACAGAGAATTAAAATGATACATATTTTAAGCAATCGGAAAAGCAATGTTATTACAATGAGACACGTAAAA